AATTACCTGACCTTTCTGGGACGAGACATTCTTGGTTTTGGTAACCCTAGTACTCCTCCCCGAGTAGACCCCTCTCTCAGGCTTCAGAGTCTGGCTCCTGCAGTAAACCCGAGTCCAGTATTCTACCTGGGATGCCTGTCCCCAGCATTCATGTCAGGGTGTCCGTGTTGGGAAAATTTACCATCATCAACCCTTGGCCCAGCAGGCCTCACATGTCCCAGGAGGCTTTTCATGCACCCACAGCTGATCACGGTTTGAGTCCTACAGCCTCAGTGGGGGTTTTGACTGGGAGTATTTATCTAGGAGTTAACTGCAGCTAGCTGCCCATCTCAAGATTTCTGAAAATCCTACCATCACAGCTAGTAGGAATCAACTTAGAGATTTCCTTTACCTAAAAGCTACATGTGAAAATAAAATCCTAGTCTTACACGTGCAGTCTTTTTACCACTGTCTTCTACAGGTCCAGATGTAGTCCCGTTGTTTTCATAACCCTCGTTTGTGCGTTTTTGAAAAAATATTTTTATAGATGAATACTCAGGCTAACCTAGTGGATACAATCTTGGAACTTCCATGATTACCCACTTCAAGATCAAAGTGTTATATGCTGTGTGCTTTTTAGCTGTTAGTGCTATGAAAGCTAAAATGCTTTCTACCTTGGTCCATTTTACTGGGTGCCAGTGAATGTATGCTGGAAGTAGTCTAAAATATATCCTTTTCTTAGAGCAAAAAAAAAAAAAAAAATTGAGTCAGTTTTTTCCCCTTGTATTTCTCATTTTCTCCACTGACTAATCTTAACTGGAAGCCAAATTCCTATTTAGTATACTTCCTTAGTAGTTTATATTTCTGAGAGATATAGATATATATGGAAATATATGATGAGTAGTGGTATAATGCCAGCGACAGTCCCCATAGGTTGTCTGGTCCTGGCTTTGCCATATCTTCCTGGATTTTAGTGAAATAGCATGTTAGAGGAATCCTCATTAATGTCTTTATGTATTCGTTTCACCAGTACTTGGGTGTCTTCTAAGTGTACTGGACTAAATGTTGAAGATACAGAGGGAAAGGAAGTGCACTCATACCTTCAAGGTCACAGGAGCATAAATTAACACTTACAGTCCAATGATTCCAAATAATAGAGACGTACAGAAAGCTGTGTGAGTCCAGGGAGAGAGGGACTGATTCTGCTGGTGTGACACCAGGCAGGTTCACAGGGGAGCTCTGTTGATGGGGTCTGGAAGGATGAGCAGTGGGATCACAGGAGAAGAGCATGCTCAGCAGAAGCAGAAGTCAGCACAAAGGCTTAGAAACGTGGAAGAACTGTCACAGCAATAGTACACGAATTGTGGTATGGCATGTGTGTGACACCCACGTCCCCATACCACAGGCAGGCACTGCGGAATCATTCACATTTTTGCTGCTAAATTTATAAGTATCTTCAGTTCTCAGCAGGGTGCTTCAGGCAGTCACTGCCAGTTGTTTGGAGTTGGCACACGAGACTGAACCTGTCTGTCCTCTCTGCAGTGGGCGTCCACTGTGCCTGGAGCGTCGGATGTGTGTGGGAGGGGTGGACGAGGAGATCAGCTGGAAAGGTATGTGGGAGGGCTCAGGTGATGAAGGCCTTTTTGTGCCTCACGACTGAGTTTGTATTTATAGTCTGTATAGGTGGTGGATAGCCATAGAAGCATTTTAAGCAGGAAAATGATGTAAGCAGACTCTTCTGTTTGGGAAGATAAGCTTTGTAGAAGATGGATTGAACTGAGTAAGCTGAGGGCAGAGACACTACTGGGCATTTCATACTATCATTAGGTCTTAGTAGCCTTAGCCTCTAAGTTACCAAACCAGTTAAGAGTACTATGGCTGTTCAGACCAGAGGTAATGGAGGTCTGAATGAGGGAGTAGGAATAGGGAGAAAGAGTCTGAGGGTGATTTAAGAAATAGAACGGCACGTGGCTGTTTAGTTGTTGATGTTACAGTGGGAAGAAGGAAGGAATCTTGGGAGGCTCTCAGGCTTACCACCTGGGTGCTTACGGGGTGGGGAGGGTGGGATGCACAGGAAGGGGTGGGAAGATGATGACTTAACCCTTGCTGGAAACTAAGTTGGCCCAGAAAAAATATTTTTCTTATGGAGTCATGTTGATTCCTATCAAGTTCCTTTACTCTTCCGAAAGGTTGCAAATCAACTGTTTAATGTCACATGGTATCGTGGTAAGAACATAAAGAGTTGGCCTGTAGAAGATGTGGTTCGATTCTTGGAAAGAGACTATCACTTAGTTCTAACCTCAAGCAATCCATATCTCCCCTCTGATTCTCTTTCTTTCTCTGTAAAGGGGAAATAATATATGTCCAGCCCTTCTTACAGAATTGTTACGAGAATCAAATGAGGAAATTTATGTAAGGGTATTTTGTCAACACATATATTGCATATATATATTAACTGAGTCATTTCTTTCCTTTATAAAAAGATGAATGTTTCAAGATACTCTGATTCCAGATTGATAAAGAACTACTAAAACAGTCTTAAGTAAATATATATTTGGAGTCCATAAAGTGATTCTTGAGTTTGAAAAAAAACTGGTGGTGTTTTTCATATTGTCATTAGATCTTAGTTGCCTTAGGTTTTGCACTAGAGTTTTAGTATAGGTTATAAGGGTCTGAGAAGAGTTTAGCAGAGTATCAGAGAAAGTTAATTAGTGTTTGACCACCATGTATACTAGCTTTAAATTGAAAAATCATATAATATTCTTGAATTTAGCTTTTTTTCACTTTATCACTTTCAAACTTGATAGTCACTTATTCATACTTATATTTAGCCTCTTTAAATCCTTGGGAGAGTATTGGGGAGCTTATTTACATTAATAGTAAAAAAAGAATGTAAATACAACTTTTTTGCCCTGAACTGTTGGAACCAATTTCATTTGAGAACTGTAAGACAAGTCATAGTTTCGATGAAACATTTGGTTCATTCTGTTGTCTGATGTGTACAAAATTAAGTTTTATTGATGGGAAATGATGAAAATCTGTTTAAAAATTGTCTAATGATAGTTGCTCCCTAACTCTGACCTCCTTTCATGATTAAGAATCGTTTTGATTCTATTTGCATTTGAAGAACTTAGTATGTTACTCATAAAATACTCGTAAAAGTGTATTAAAATTTAAATAGTGAGATGTTTGCCTAGGTAGTTTTCATAGTGTAAATCTGATATACTCAGTCCCGATAGAGGATAGGTAACTCACTGGGGCAGATGATCTAGATGGCAGTTTAGGGTGCTGTATCTAAAGGAGGTGCCTCTTGCCTGGGAGGGTCTCGGCTGTGAGCAGAGGCCACTGTGGGGAGGAGACTCTTAGGAGAATATGTTGATAGGAAGCACGAGAACATTTGGGATTGACGCTTGGCAGTTGACTTTGTTTTATGATTTGCCGTCAATTTTGACTCCCCTCCAAGTTCTCGTTGTTCTTGAAGAAAGTGGTATAGTGCTGTGAAGTCTCATGAAATTTAGACAGTTAATGTCTAAGGGGAATTTTTGTAACCCAGATCCACACTGTACATAAAAGTGTCAGAAGTGTGGCTTCCATAGGGCCCGTCCCTTCTGTGCCAGTGGAAACATCATTGAGTGGTCCCGGGTTCCTGCCTGCAGTCCCCCTCAGAACTCTTCCGGAGGCAGCATGCTGAACAGCCGTTACCCTTCAGCTAGAATCTGCACAGAAGGGAAACCTCTGTGCTACGCAGACTTTGAGTGTTGCCAAATTACGCGCAGTAGACAAAGATAATTTTTGACTTTTGTTGAAAATATGCTGAAACTGAAGTAACTATTTTTAGTGGAAAATACTTGTCGTTTAATGATACTTGTTCTATGAGATAATATAAAATTTAGTTAATTAAGGTTGCTAAATAGAAAGAAAAAAATAACACACTTGATAGTTAGCAAAGCATATTATTAGACCTTTGATTTCAGAACAGGTTGTTATATTTGGTTCTTCTGGTGCCACAGAATAGGTTGGGAGGTGGTGGAGGGGGGACAGACATCGGAGTGTTAGGTCTGTGAGGCTGTCAGCTGGCCTTACTCACTGGTGAGCCCATAGAGCCAGCAGTATTGTTGTAGACTCTAAGGTGTATAAATCAGACTGATGAACGTTCCCTATAGAGTAGGTGTAGGGGTCCTGGGCTGGAAAGGAGGAGGAGTGAGTGAGGAGGGGAGGGAAAGAGGTCGAGATAAATGTGTATTTGAACTTAGGATGATGAGATTTAAGATGTGTAGACTGGGAACATTTTTTACTATCCAGTGTAAATGTATGCTATTTACTCTTTTTGTTAAAACATTTTCATAAGTGGTTCTCCTTTAAAATAACTGTTTTAACCACCCAAGTTAACAGAAAAATATAACCATACATGTTCTCTGGTATTTTGATATCTCAGTGATGAGAAAATATTAATGTTTGTACGGCCAAATATTATTCAGTCTGGTTATTCTTTGGTTGATCTTCTGTTGGGAGAATTGCTAAATTAATTATAGTGTGTCTATGTATTATAGAAAAACTACTGTCATATGTTAAATAAGAATTTAAAATATTTCTGCCTTAATTGAAATGATCACTGTACCTTTAAACTGGAAATATATTTAGGGAAGAGACCAAGAGTCTTTTCAAGACTTTTCTTACAAGTGTTTTAAATGGTAGCTTTTAAGTGCCTTTAAAGAAAGCAAGAAAAAATATTTTTGTTTTTGCTTTCTTTAATTTATATATGTGTAATATGTTTTGTATTTTATTATAATTAAGTGTGTTCTTTGCATCTTTTTCTTGATGATTTTCTTATGAAACTTTTTAAAACTTAAATCTCTAAGCAGAAACTTCTAGAATATTTGGTCACACTAGAACCTTTTTGTGGCACAGATTTTCATAGACATAATGAAGCTGTAGTCAGAATACTTCAGGTATTTTTTTTGTCAGTGATTAAAAAAAAACCCAAATCCTCTGAAAAGTAACTTTTTGTATTTTTATTACAGGTAAAGTGGAATATTCACATTGTACAGAAACTGAGGTAAGAGAAATGTTAAAATATTTCTTAGTAATAACCCAGCTTTACAGTTCTGTTCCGACTAACTTGAGTACTGAAATACCTCTCTGTGGGTTTTTGGTCTTCTGATAAGGATGTGTTGAGAACAGGTATGTATTTATTGTATTTAGGAAGAGTAAAATTTAAAGAAAAATCAGTTAATCATGTCCATATATTTAAAATATCAAGGTATGTTATAAAAATAAACTGTATCATAGTTTAAAATTTTTCCTGTGTTGTTTGTGAAATGGAGTTAAGATTCAGAGCCCTTAACAAGAAATAGGTTAAGTTTTTTAAATAATCTGATCTAGTTTGTCATATAAATCATTTAAATATGTTAGACTCCTGTGGAGTCGCTTTGGAGTGGGAAAAAATAGGGACTTAGGAAGTCATTCAGTAACATTACTGATGAATTAAATGCTTTGTCTTTGTATACAAGTATGTTTACTATTTTTTAAATAATTTAAAATTCAGTTTGTGAAATTTAAGGGATTTTCGTGTGGCTCCATGTGTCCCTTGCAGAAGTTTCAGTGGTAAAGCTGAAGTATGAGGGCAGCATCAATGAATTATGTATATATGGAGGTTTTTTCTGTCTGGAGCTGTTGCGTCATTACATGTGGAGTTTTAGGTCTTTTGTTAATACCTAATTAAGAATTTAAGATGTTATTTTTCTAATTTTATAATGCATCTACAAGTTGATGTCAGTTTTATTAAATTTTGATTGTTATTTTAAGTAAGATGCAAGCTTCCCAAGGGATTATATTGTATAACAAGCAAAAATAATTTATTCTTTTTTGCATCAGAAGCTATTCAACTAGTTCTATATTTACTGACAGCTTTTTTATTTTTTTTTAATTTTTTTTATTTATTTATTTTTTTTACTGACAGCTTTTTAAAAAAAATTATTTTGTTTATTTTATTTTTGGCTGTGCTAAGCCTTCACTGCTGTGTGCTAGGGCTTTCTCTAGGTGTGGCAAGCAGGGGCTTCTACTCTCTGGTTGTAGTCTCGGGCATTTCATTGTGGTTACTTGTATGGTTGTGGAGCACGGGCTTTCGGGCTCAGTAGCTGTGCTGCTTGGGCTTAGTTGCCCTGCAGCATGTGGGATCTTCCTGGACGAGGAATCTAACCTGTGTCCTCTGCATTGGCAGGCGGATTCTTAACCTCTGGACCACCAGGGAAGCCTTATTGTGACAATTTTTGATGTATTGTTCAATGTGATATAAAGGAGTGGGATATGATTTGAGTCAAAAATAAAAGTTCTGCCTGTGGTTTCTGGTTTGCATCTTTCTAGCTATGTAATTTCGAGCAACTAATTCTTTTTCTCTCATAATTCTGGCTTTCTTATTTATTAAATGTTAAAGATAATTTCTACTAATTTCATGGGTTGTGAAATTTCAAAGAGATTATATGGATGAAAATGTTTTATAAACTCTGAAGACACTTATTGATATCAAATTGATAAAAATATAATCAGCATTGATCTGCATTTAGGTGATGAAATGTGAGGACTTTACATACAAGGCATAGTCATAAGTCTCATTAGCACTTGTTTGTGTAGGAATGTCACTCTCTCATCTCCTACGTGATAGCTCTATCCTTTGATGCATAACTTATCATCAAAAGACTTGAAATCTAAACAGAACTCTTTTTCAGAACTTTTTTTTTTTGGGTCTAACTATTTGAAGAGGGAAAATATGAGAAAATGAGAAGTTTGATCTGATAGTTTACAAAGTGGGTTTGGAGTATCTTTTACAGTAACTGGTTTTTACCTCTAGGGAAGATATTGGGGTTGTGGATGGTGATTTATCTTTATTACTTAGATTTTTTTGAGGTGACAATGTTTCTTTGTATTACTTTGGTAATTAAAATAATAAAAAGGAGGGGCAGTAGGAGGAGTGGGAATTTTAAAAAGAACTTACTCAGGTGAAGGAGGAGATAGTTTAAGTAGGAAGTTTTGTTTTTTAGGTTGGGGGAAATTGTCCATTTGGTGCTGGTAATGGTAGTCTTTCCTGGTGGCTCAGATGGTAAAGAGTCTACCTGCAATGTGGGAGACCCGAGTTCGATCCCCTGGGTGGGGAAGATCCCCTGGAAAAAAGAATGGCAACCCACTCCAGTATTCTTGCCTGGAAAATCCCATGAACGGAGGAGCCTGGCGGACCCCAATCCATGGGGTTGCAAAGAGTTGGACACGACTGAGCAACTAACACACACAGTGATAGTAAGGGCTTCCCTTGTGCCTCAGTGGTAAATATCCCCTGAAGGAGGAAATGGCAACCCATTCCAGTATTCTTGCTGGGATAATCCCGTGGACAGAGGAGCCTGGTGGGTTGCAGTCCATGGCGGTGGCAAAGAGTCAGACCTGACTGAGTGAGCATGCATGCATGCATGCAGTGGTAGTAAGGGGGAAGAGAGAGTGAGAAAGAAGATGGGGGAGAGAGAAGGGGAAAGAGAGAGGGGGTGGGAAGAGAGGTGGAGAGGGAGAGATCCAAGGGAGAATGGGTGCCTGCCAGCACCAGAAGTGGTTGCAGCTAGAGGTGGCGGGCTAGAGCGGTATAGTTCTCCAAGGACAGTGTGAAACCTCTGGGGGGTTCTGACACCCTTTCGTGGTCAAACTATCTTCAAAGTATTACTGAGACATTATTTGTCCTTTTACTCTTATTCTGGCACGAGTGTGTGAAGGTGCTTTCAGAGGCTTCATGGCTACATGATCCTGACTGTCCTATCAGAGTGGCTGTAGAAGAGCAGATGTAGCTGGATTTTATTAAGCATAGCCTTCAGGAGTTTTGCAAAAATATGAAACAGTACCACCCCTTTCACTATTTTATTGACTTTTTTTTTTTGCCACCCTGAGTGGCATGTGGGATCTTAGTTCCCCTACCAAATCTGAGTCTCCTGTATTGAAAGCTCAGAGTCTTAACCACTGAACCACCTGGAAAGTCCTATTTTTTTTGGAAAATTTTGAGCATTTCTTTCTAAAAAAATGTTACATGTATTAACATTTAATAGCATTATTTTTCTTTAATTATTTTATTTAAAAAATTTTATTATAGTTTTACAATGTTGTGTTAATTTCTGCTCTATATTATTTTTGAACAATTTAAACAATTCAACAAAAAACTTTCAGTTTTAATCTCTGATACAGTAAATGTTTGATTATAGCTCATATACACAAAAGCTCCATGGACTCCCTGGTAATTTTTGAAAGTAAAAGGACCAGAAAACTAACCAGTTAGAGTTGGGCTGGGTCTGGAGAGCAGAGGGACTTCTTCCTGAGAAATGGAGTTTAGGGTAGGGAGAGGTCAAACCAGAGCCCTGAGCTGGGTTGGTGGAAAGCGAGGAAAGCCTTGGCATATGAATGAAGCCAAAATTTTTTACTTTAATAAGCAATTTAACTTTTTCTTACACCATTTTCTATTTTTTTGAAGATAAAATTTATATACAGTAGAATTTAAACTTTTTAGTTAAAATTCTTCAAGTTTTGACAAATACCATCACCACAGTCAAGTCTCGTCACCCGCTAGGATCCCCCCATCCCCAACTCCCCACTAACCACTAATCTGTGTTCTGTCCCTTTGGTTTTGAGGAGGACCTGTAATGTACATAGTGTGTTACCTGCGTTGGCCTCCTCTCTGGGAGTGGTCATTTATAAACTGTCACATGACTGACCTGTACTTGGGATTTGCTTGTCAAGGGAAGTGGTTCCAATCCACAGTTTGGGGAAAGTTTCACTCCTAGTTTACAAGTTTTTCCTTCTGCCATTACTTAAATAGTCTTGTGGGTGATACACTTACATTTGAATAAAAGGCTAAGCACTTAAAAATACTAAAACATAGAAGATTGAAATTTCCAAGTATCTTAATTGAGACTTTTCCCTTGTTTTTAGCTTTCTAAATTTCATTCCATTCTGTCTTCTATTAACTACAGTTAATTATGCAGCACTCAGAGGCCCTTTCCCTTTAGCAGGCACAAAGGTTGAATGAGTAACCAGAACAACCCTCTTCTGTTCTCTTTGATGGATTTGCTGTATTTTATGTGAAATTGGTTAAAGCATTATATGAAGTTAGATAACTTTTGTCGATCCTTTAATCTTGATAGAGCTAGTTTGTAAAAATCATAGCATAGCAGAAAGTGTAAGCTTTACTGAGGGGAACTATGGAAAAGATTTATGCTCCTGTCTTAGAAATAAAGTTCATATTTATGAAGTTCAAATAAAGTACCATATATAAGTGCTTACTGTCTTTCATTCCCACATCTTTAAAAAACACTTTAGCTTTTCCTCTGTGCTGAGTACTGTTAGATACCTTAATTTAATCCTCACAACCAATCTGTGAAGTGGGTTCTGTTACTAACGAAAGCTGAGGTGTGGCGAGGTTGAGGGACTTGCCCAGGGCTATAGAGCCAGTGTGTTGCACAACCACCTCTCTTAGCTTTTTCAGGTTTGTCTGAATCCAACCCTTGGTTGTCTGTATCTGCAGAATGCTGACAATTTTGTGCCCATGAAATTGTCCTTGTCCTTTATATGTTTCTCACCTGTGACTCTTTTGGTCCTGGCATTATGCAGTGAGGGAATACATTCCTGTTGTATGGAAACCAGGCAAAGAAGGAACAGACTCTGTCCATGAACCCCCAGCCCCACTGTTAGGTGAATACAGTCTGTACTGGAGCAATTTGTGAATTAGTCTGATTCTGAATTACTCAGAATGACTCAAGAATTTTGCTATATATTTCAATCTCCTGGGAAACCGCACCTGCAATTAGTCTGCTTTGTGGGGAAACCCAGAGCTTTTGGAAATGAACCAAGGACACATCAGAGGTAGTATTTAGACTTACTCCATTCTCGTTATATACAGATTTTGACAGAAACTGGACTATGTGAAGATTTTTCATGTTCCCTGAGCAGCCTAAAATAAACTGCCAAAGGTAATATCTGGGTGCTGACTGCTTTAACAGAATACAATACAAAATAAAAGAAAAAAACCCATTT